CTGAAATTCTCAAGAAGAAGAGAGACACCAAATCACACTTAAATTGAATTCCATTGAAGGCTTCAGAGTTTCTGAAAGAAACCAGAGACAAATTTGATTTTAAATTCGTTCAAATACCATTTTGCCGAAGCCTCCTTCAGAGTCAATTTCGCATTCACTCAGAAAATGTTTTTGATCAACAAAATATACGAAGTGAATCACCACCCAGCATAGATCACGTTTCCACTTGGACACACCTCAATCAGTATCCGTAGCCCATCTCAAATTAGGCTCAAAATTGGCCAAAAATCATGGTTCAAAAACCATTTTTCTAACATCTTTATCAACTATAAGTCTAAAAGTTCATCTGATCCAACAAGGAAAGCAAAGATTTGCCCACCATAATCAGTTTAAGAGAACTGTAAACCGAAACAATCCATGAACACAGCGTCGCAAGGTATGTCAATCATATAAACAGATTGTTGGGTGGTGCAAACTCTGAGGAAATCACACAAAGTGAAATAAAAACTTGAAGTTTCCAATATGGAGGATCCACTAAATAGTGATAACCATAGAGCATATGCTTACAAAGTTCAGACGAACTAATAAGTAATAGTGACAGAAAGAAGTGCTAAGATAGTAACTTTAAGTTGTCATGAAACTAGGCTATGATACCATATTTGTAACCACAAAGGAGATACAATCACAAAGAAGGGAGGATAACCTATTAAACGAGCTTTTATTACTCTGAACCAGTCTGAAAATACAATACACACCAGAGCTCCTTATATAAGCATAAGGGAGCCTGCAAAGCTCAAAGACAACTACCAACAATAGTCCACACAGTTGGTACAACAAAAACTAATTGTCATTATATAATTTAGATCTTGTTTGATAGATTTTGACAAGAAAATTTGAATAACCATTTTTTCAAATGGATGTGTACAATAAATGTTATGACATTTTTCAAGGGTATAATTTTTCAAAATTAATAACAATTTGAAAATGAAATTTAAGGGCTAATAAACTTAATTTGAGACTTAAGCTCAAACAAGTTCATAAAGTAATACTTTTTTAGAAATTATGTCTACATTATCTCGTGGTATATCGAAACTCATCCAATCTCACATGAAAAAATATATATAAATAAAAACAAATAAATATCATGGTATCATTGTCCAGTGGTAAATGAAGCAAGGATAAGGGCAGTTATGTCAGCAGAAATTGGATGCTTTTATTTACACCATTATTTTGGAGGAATTTGGTCAAAACCCCCTCAATAATAAAACTTTATTCCATTAAGGACAAGCACAAAAAGTTTTTCTTGAAAAGTCCAACACACACCACTATTACCAAAATATTAAAGTTTAAAATAATATAACTTTTGATCCAGATGACGATTTTTAATAAAATTAGTATTTTTAGAATACTCTCGTCAGGATATATCAAATAAGATCCATATTGACTATAAAATTCTTAAAAACAAATTAAAAATTAAAAAAAAAAACTATTACTGTCTAAATTGTTCTAAATAGGAAAAGATTATTCTATTTAACTGTAACATGTTACTCCAGCAATGTTATCGAAGAAAAAAAAAAAAGATATTTTACTTTATCCTTACTCAATAATGCGCTTCCTCCTTAGGAGGTTTATGAGGTAAAGTAAATTAGGCTATCATTTTCACCAAACAAGGGTCTATTTGAGGGATTTTAGCTAAATTTCCCATTATTTCTCATGACACCCCCATTCTATTTTATCTCATTACACCCTCTAATAGTCCATACATCTCTCTCTCTCTCTCTCTCTCTGATCTAGGAGAAGAATAGCCTAGATTTCCTAAACTAGGGTTTTGAAGGTGGCAACGGTGGCTGGGGTTTCAAAGGTGGCGATAGCTAATGTATCTGTAGTGAAAAAAATTTACAAGAAAATCTAATATCGTTGCTAAAAGTAAATTATTTGTGAGGAAAATTATTTTTTGTCACCAATTAGCAATAAAAATTCTAATTTCGTCACAAATCTATGGGCACAGCTTCACTTATTCCTGCCATATGAAAACCAAACTTGTAGTGACAAAATTTTATTTATTGTGACAAAATTTATTGTCACAAAAGAACCTACAATAAGCAAGGAAAATTTTCCTCATGAAAGTCCTGAAATTTTTTGGCGCCCCGCCCAATTTTATGGCGCGAATATAGAGGGAAATGGCAACAAGTTGTTTTCCTCGCCCATTAAAACTACATATTTTTTTAATCTTTATTAGGATATTGGTGGACTAAAATTTCCTCACTAAATACATTTTGACCATGTTTGTTTTGGATTTTCAAATTGATTTTTGAGAGTTCAAAATTGAAAGTTAATTTATATTTAGGGTAAAGTATCAATAGATCCTAATAGTTAGACTTAATTCCCATCAAGTCCTATTGAAAATAAGTTTTAGTAAAATTGTCGCTACAAATATTTTTTTGTGACACTTTTTTACATACGTCGCTAAAAATTGAAAATTAGTGACTTTTTTTTGTCATGATTTTTATAAATTGTCGCTAAAACTTATAATTAGTGACATTTTTTATGATAAATTTTTCTCATAGGACCTATTAGACAATAAGTCTACTTATTAAAACCTATACGTAAGTACCCCATTTATTTGTCTCTTACTCTGTTCTCAAAACTATTTCCAAAACTATTTCAAATCTATTCCAAATGTATCTCTATTTTCAAAACTATTTCAAATTAAAATTTATCTATTACCAAAACAACATGAATTGAATCAATATATATGTTGAAATATGCGATCCATCATACTTTCAAGTTAATCAAATTTTTTTGGATGAAACTTTATAAAGAAGTTATTTGCAAATTCATATAAAAATTTAATAAAAAGTGATTGACAAAGAAATATGTTATCGCAACATTATTAGATTGTAAAATATCGGACAAGGACAATACCACCCCTCTCCCTTGAATATTAAATCTGGAATTGAAATATATATATATATATATATATGTGTGTGTGTGTGAAAAATGATATACAAATTTATTGTTTAGACTTATTTTATAAATGTATAAGTGGTATGATTGGTTTATAATTAGAGAAGATATGAGAAACCTTTACGCTATGTTTGGTTGGGGGGTTTGAAAATGTATTTGGAAAAGCAAAGGAAAAAGATAGGTGAAATACATTTCACATAGTTTCACACACTTTTTTCTTTATTTTTCTAAATCCCTCAATCAAACACAGCATTATCATCCTAATTAATTGGCAAAAATAAAAATTTCTGTTGGAAAGTGTGTTAAAAAAGGCAACAAGTTTAAATAGTAAAGCCAATTTAAAATAAAATTTAAATTAAAAAAATTGAGTAAATTACCAATCAGGCCTCGTTTGGCAACCGAACTTTTTAGCCAAAAAGTCAAAAAGTTATCAAATTAGCCAAAAAGCTAACAATTCATACCAAAAAGTCAAAGATTCTCTTTTCTTTCTACCTTTTGCACATCTTTTCGTAAAAAATCAAAAAGTCATCCCAAACATACTAGTTTTTTTTAGCTTATATTTTAGCCAAATAGCCAAAAAATTACTAAATTAGCCTGTTCCCAAACGAGGCCAATGTGTTTGGTTTGATTTTTGTAGATTAAGTTTTTTGAAAATTGAGTTTTTTTATTTTCGTGTTTTTTTGTTTTTAGTGAATATTTTTAAATTTTTAAACATTTTTTTTACTTTTTTAGATGTATCTTACTTAGATATATTTAAAAAGTAAAAAAATTGTGAAAAAATATTTTAAAAAATTAATAAATACAAAAAAATGTACTGAATTCTTGTATTTTTTTTTTTTTTGTATTTTTGGTATTTAGTGAATTTTTAAAAGATTTTTTTTTTTACTTTTTAGGTGTATTTATGTTAGGTATGTTTAAAAAGTAAAAAATTTACTTAAAATATTAAAAAAATTCAGTAAAAATAAAAAAATACGGAAAATAAGAAAGTAAAATTTTTTGAAAAGTGTTTTTGGAAAAATAGAACCAAGCAAGCCCAATAGGTTTATTATCATCAAGGCTCCCTAAGCCTTCGTTTGGAATGTGTGTTGATTTTTTAACTTTTTAATTATTTTAGTCTAGGGCCAAAAGTTTTTTGACTTTTTGACTTTTGTAAAAGAAAAAACGAAATGATTAAGATTTAGATGTGACATTTTATTTTATTGAGTTAAAAAACTTATTTTATTTTTTTATGACTAAAATAGTCCCAACTCAACCCAAACCTTCATGCCAAACATAGCCTAAGATGATCTAATTTGTGTAAACAGGGGCTCCCTCCCCGCAAATTATTGTTTTCATTTAGTCTTAAACTTGGTTTGGTAACCAATTAGGTCTAGTTTACTTGGCCACCATATCTCCTTCAGTTTAGTCTCAAAGAGATTATGGATTCAATTTTCTTTTAAGGTTGAATTAAGGGTGTGCAAGTACTTAGGGCTAGTTTGGCATGTACTAAATAAGTCAAAAAGTCAAAAAGTCACTATCTTATTTAAGTCACATCATCTTATTTAAATCACATCACCTCTCTAGCACATCACATCAAACCCAACCCAAACCCAAACCCAACCCAAACCCACCAATAAGTCAAAAAGTACAATTTTTTTAGGACATCCCAAACCAACCCTTAGGCCATGTTTGTTTGGGTGGACATGAGCTTGGGATTGGACTAATAGTCCAATAAAATTATTAATCCGATGTTTGGTTAAACAATTGAAGTACGGACTAATTATTTTAAACTTGACTATTAGTTAAGATAGGATACATAATCCAACGGATTCGTAGTCCTAGGACTATTAGTCATGGGAATGCTAATCCAGTCCGCTCAAACAAACATGGCCTAGTGCTTTGCCAAGGTAAAGAGATTTTCTCCTATAGATGCTAATCCAACAACTAACCGCTAACATTTGCCCATAAAAAAAAACTTGGTTTGGTAATTTTCTTTTACCACGTGCTGAAAAAAGAAAAAACGAAAGCAAAAAAAGAAAGTAGAATTAAGTTACCGGAGACGATATCCCTGAAAAAGTCGACGGAGTCCGTCAGCTCCTCTGCAGTCTTGCCCTTCCACTTAACCGCAAGCGACGGGATGGCGCTATCTTCGAGGTACACTCCGATAGCCGTGAACTTGATGAACTTGCCTTGGATTTCCAAACCTCTCTCCCCTGTGCACATTAGCCAAAATCAACAATCAGATAAGAGAGATCGAATCGAAGGGTGGTGCGCAGTTTAAGAAAGAAAGAAAGAAAGAACGAACCTGCGCCGCCGAGGAAGAAGGGCTTGGACGTGCCCGGAGGTTTCACAGTCGGAGGGAAAACGTGGCTCTCGATCTGGACTTGGGTGACGGACGGTGACTGTGACGGAGACATTGCTCTCTTTCTCTCTCAGCACCTCTTGCTTGTTCTTGGCGAGACGACAGACAGCGTGATCAATGCCGTTTTGTATGGTTTTATTGAAGAAGTGAACGAAAGTTTAATTAATTAATCAAAGGTGTGGTAGCTGGGTTCTATATTGATAGAAAAAATTAAAATTTAAAACATAAGGATCGGTAGCCAAGGCCACGTGTTGATAGGTGGCCGTGGCATGACTCTAGCCACCTACCCTGACCACACTGAAGGGTAGTTGAGGAGCATTTAGATAAAATGTGATACTATATGCATCAATTAGTATATTAAGGAGTAGTTTAAGATGATCTAAATAAGTGTACTTTTTGACTTTTTATGAAATATGAGTTGGGTATAAGTTGGGTTTGAAGTGATGTGTTAGAGAAGTGATATGACTTAAATAAGATGATGCGATTTAAATATGATAGTAACTTTTTGACTTTTTAACTTTTTTAGATCATGCCAAACAAGGCCTAAGGGCATCCGCAGCGGAGCTGCTAAGAAGAGTTTTAGTGTCAGTTGGTAAATTTTAACTAGCAAAATGTGTTGTTGGGTGCTGCAGTGGATCAGTTAGTGTGTGTGTTAGTCGTGTGTGTTAAAAAGTTTGTTAACTGCGGCTAGCGCTTGGGTTCTTGGCGAGACGACAGACAGCGTGATCAATGCCGTTTTGTATGGTTTTATTGAAGAAGTGAACGAAAGTTTAATTAATTAATCAAAGGTGTGGTAGCTGGGTTCTATATTGATAGAAAAAATTAAAATCTAAAATATAAGGTTCGGTACCAAGGCCACGGGTGGATAGGTGGCCGTGGCATGACTCTAGCCACCTACCCTGACCACACTGAAGGGTAGTTGAGGAGCATTTAGATAAAGTGTGATATTATATGCATCAATTAGTATATTAAGAGATAGTTTGGGATGATTTATATAAATATATTTTTTAACTTTTTATCAAATATGGGTTGGGTGTAAGTTGGGTTTGAAGTGATGTGTTAGAGAGGTAATGTGACTTAAATAAGATGATGTGATTTAAATAGGATAGTGACTTTTTGACTTTTTTAGATCATGCCAAACAAGACCTAACTAGTGCACTAATGCATTATTATTGGTCACACTCATTATAAAAATTACAAATACCAAAAATATCTTAAATTATGTTATATCATTAATTAGTACACCAATTAATATACTAATCGGTACATATGACATTAATGTTAAAGAAAACTACTATGTTTAATGGGGGCAGTAGAAATAACTTATAAAATGGGTGCTTCCCTTGATCTGTGCAGGAGAGTGAAAAGATTTTTTCTGTAACAAAAATAAAATAAAATAAAAATAACTTGCAAATTAGTGAGGAAAGATTACAAATAATAGCATCCGTGAAGATTGAAAATTTTATTACAAAATGAGATTTTGATGTTAAATGACGTATATATCCTTGCACCCAAAACGATATATACCCTCTTCTTCTCCTTCCCAACCCAATCTTACCACCATAGCTCACTCTCTGCTCTACTCTGTATCTCTCTTTCACTGTCCCGCACATCTCTCTGGCTTTCCAGCATAAAAAAGGAAGAAATGATAAACAAAGGAGAAAGAATGAAGAAATGATGCGATAAAGCCCGAGGGATGCACGAGAGAATGAGAGAGATGCGAAGTAGAACAGAGAGTAAGCCATGGTAGTAAGTTTGGGTGCAAGTGTATATGGGTCATTTAACATCAGAATCTCATGAGATGGTAAAAAAATTTCCCCTCTCCACCATTGCAATCTTTTTCCACTGATTTGAAAGTTATTTCTACTGTCCCCACGGGACAGTAATTCCCCTATTTTAAATTTACCAAAAATAAGGATACAAGTAATCATATTAATAAATTTTAAATAATTTGATGAAAATTATAATACTTTTGAAATTAAGAGTCAACTATATATATATATATATATTTTTTTTTTTTTTTTTTTGTTAAAAGACAATTATTGGTGAACAATGGAACAATTTTTGGTATGGGTGTACACATATCTGGTTTTAGATAAAATTAGGAACCAAACAGTAAGAATTAATTTCAGAAAAATTAGAAAACTAACCAAATCGTTAAACTATGAAACTGAATCAGAACCAAATCATAAAAACCAGTTTGATTTGTTTCAATTTTACGGTTAGAAATTTTATATAATCATAAATATGATATATATTTTGTGTTAGTAAACAAATTAATAATAATTAATTTGGTTAAGTTCGTTAAAGTTTATCAATTTCACAATGAAAATTAGTGTTCAAATCTTATAATAAACTTTTTATATTTTGTTTTTATATATAAAAATATAAGAAAATAATAAACAAATATATTACGGTTCGGTTCGAGTCAGAATCATAAGCAAAGCCTTGGAACCAAAAATCAGATCAATTTGAACAGTTCCACTATTTTCAGAACCAAAACCAGATTCGAAACTAATAAAAACAAGACCAAATTGACAATTTAGACCGAATTGGATTAATTTACCGATTCTACCGATTTTTTTTTGTACACTCCTAATTTTTGGGCACCATATATTTGTGCAGTGGTGTCTTGTTCAAACACAATTCATTTATAGGTAAATTATAAATACATCTCTTGAGATTTGATTAAGAATCTTCTATGGTTCTGAAAATTATATTTCATTCCCTAAAATTTCTAATTTCATAACAAATCACTCATTTTATTAATTAATCATAAAGTCAATTAACAGTTTTTAATGACATTAGAAATATGTTTCAATTAATAATTTAAACAATTTTATTATTGTATAGGAGAACTATTATGAATTTCATTTTTTTGGTTAATTCTGTTAAATAAAAAATTCCAACAAGGAGATATTTATAATTTTTTAAATCACAAAAAATAATATGTATTTTAAACAAATCTCAAAAGATGTATTTATTATTTACCCTTAGATTTGCATATGATGAGCTATCACATTTAAACATTTCATAAGTTTATGTAATTATTTAAATATTACTTAATGAGAGTGGTAAAGCTTTACGAGCAGTAGTTTGTTTAAAAAATTATAAAAAGATACCAATCTATTTTATGTAGCAAAATTTCAGTGCTTTTTTGTAAAAAATTATTTAATATGATTTTATGACAAACTATATTCTTGGTTTATTATGAAAATTTTGAACATATGATCTAACGAAGGTTTTTAACATAAGGATGAATTAACTTTAGGGTTTGGCTTTGGTCCAGTCCAAGATCGGACTGGACCGTGCTGTTAGGTTCGTGGAGACCCACCACGGATTCCGTTTTGATAATCTGAACCGTTCAATGTGTAGAACTCGTCGAGTACTATACATTTATAAAAATCACATTGATCGAATATCGATAGCTATGTGATCAATTAGTTTTGCATAAAAAAAATAGACGGTGAACAAATTAGCGGTTGACAAAAAATTATTTTGATTACATAGCTATCGATATCCGATCAACATGAATTTTTATAAGTGTATATTACTTAACGAGTTTTACACATTAAGTAGTACGGATTATCAAAACGAGACCCGTAGTGGGCCTCCACAAGCTTAACAGCACGGACCAGTCTGATCTTGGATTGGACCAAAGCCAAATCCTTAAATTTAAGAGGCCTCAATTGAGTTTGTGGAATTCGAGTCTTTTGAGAAATAGCACTTGTATATGATTAGGTTTTTTAAGTTTTTAAGTAAAACGAATAGATTCAGGAATATTACTGTAAGAGTGCAAAAATATGTTTGAAGATACAAATTTTTACAACTTTTAATTATTTTAAATTTTAGATAAATTACACTAACCTCTTGAGATTTATTGAAATTACAAAGAGCTCCCCTCACGTTTTTAAAATGACATTAATCACTCATTTCTGCATTCCCTAGGTCCATGCTTTTAAAAATATCACTAACAAATAAAAAAAAAAATCTCACATCACATTATAATAATAGAGATGGGTTGTACATCTAATTTTATTTGTAATTTTTTATGACCGATGATACTATTTAGAATTGTACGGGGAGGAAAATGACATTAATCGCTCATTTCTGCATTCCCTAGATCCATGCTTTTAAAAATATCACTAACAAATAAAAAAAAAAATCTCACATCACATTATAATAATAGAGATGGGTTGTACATCTAATTTTATTTGTAATTTTTTATGACCGATGATACTATTTAGAATTATTATACTCAATTCGCAATTTTGCATACTTTTTGAGAGGGCAATAAGGCTGCTCACTGTCTTGCTAAACTAGTGAGTGAGACATCGGGACTTCGAGTATGGATGGAGTCTGTTCCCCATCCCTTTTGGCCTTAATTACTACAGGGGCTTGTGGTGTTGATTAAGAGATCTTAGCTCTATTTTCGCCTTTGATCTTTGGCTATTGCTTATTATATAAAATTCAGCATTTTCCCATCTTAAATATATATTAGTTTTCTTAAACGGGGCTTTTCCCAATATAAGCCTTTTTTACATTGTGTTTCTAAAACTAGGCCAACTTCTGACGGAATTCCAAAACTAAGCTAAAGCGCCATTACTATTCGCACTTTTACTGTTAGGAGCGCAAAAGTAGATGAACAGAAAAATCGCTATTACAAATAGCGACTTTGATTAAGAAGTCGCTGTTACAAATAGCGCTTCTAGGGTGAACTATCCTTAGTTCGGTTTTCTCCCGTTCAACCATGGTGTGCTGCGACCAAGCTTCTGAGTAGCAAGCTCCGACCGATCTAACAATAATACACCGCAACCGGACTAACTGTGTGACCGGACTAACACCAAGTTACCTTCAGACCGGAGTAGCTTTATACCATCTTGGGCTGAAGTAATTACACATCTCCTAACCGAAGTAACTATACCTCTTCCGGGCCGGAGTAACTATGTTTCTTCTAGGCCAGAATGTTATTACGGCCTTTTACTGAGTTCTTCATACTTTGGGCCATAAAGTCCATCTTGCAGCTCGGTCCAATTTTCTCCAAAAATTACCCTCTCAATTGCCCCTTAATTCCATCTGCACAGCGTGATTGGGATTACCAGTCTACCAACCGAGCTGAAGTTTATTAAGCCTCTCCAGCCGAACTAAAAAACCCTTTAGCTTTTTCAGCCGAGCTAATTTTACGTCGGGCTTCACTCTGTTCGGTCAAAACGTCTC